TGTGTTTTACAAATGAACAAGAATGTTCTACTTATAGAAAGATAATGTAAAAAATGATTGCAAATCTTATTATTTTACCAGTCACCAAATCTTTTATTTTTAACTTTAATTACTATTCCTTTTTAACAATTGTAGCAATTAAATAACTAAAATTGACCAAAAAAATAAGATGAATTCAACGTAATATCAGAACAAAAGAAAAAGGATCATATGCACACCTTGTAGTTGCTACTCCCAAAGTGATTCGGACGACACAATCTGACGAATATATCTTTCTTTGTCAAGTGTTGGTCGCTAGCGTTTGACAGTAGATTTTTATAATTTTTGAGAAGAATTTGATAATTTTGAGGCAACTTTGGCTCCCATACAAGGTCAGTTAATGAAGCTTGATGGAATGTCCTACTGACTCTACTAATTTTAGAGATCTGAATTGGGTCAAGATGTGTAAGGACCAAAGCTATGCAGCTTTCTGGCAAGTCTCCAAGTCCTGTCTCTAAAGGACTCATATTACTTGTTAATTTCTCATGATCCACCAAGCCAGAATTATTAGCCCCCATATATGAAAATAAAAACTCCTAGCTAGAATATTGTGATCATAAAAAAAGCAAAATAATGATATAATTGTGGAATGGTATAATATGAATGAATTGTTGAGTAAAGAGGAAGGAAGGACTTTCTCCAAAAGAGAGGAAAACGAATTTAATTAAGGAAGAAGAAAGAAAGTACTTGTTGTTGGTTTTGGAATTGAAGACTTTTTCAACTTTATAGTAGTAGAGACATATTTCTTTAAAGTATATATTTAAATTATTGATTATCGTGACTTATCATATTTTTAGATAATTTAGAAATATATATAAAAATGAAATATGTATAATAAATTGAGATAGAAAAAATAATAATATTAAAAGAGATAATCGTATAAAATAATACATTAATAATCTAAAATAAATAGAGTATCTACTGTTTGATTTAATTATGCTCTGTAACAAACGTTTGTCGCTCGCCACTCTCGTTCTGCTCGCTTCTCTCGCTTTATAAAGCAGAGATTGCGTTTCTGTTTTATATAAAGCGAGAGAAAATTGTATATACACATGCAAAAATATATATCTTCTTCGTATGCACTTAATTATACAATATACAACCATTTTACTTTGATTGAATTGTATACAAATACAAATTTTATACAGATATTGCAGGCTAGCGAATTATACAATTGCAGTGAAATACAATTTTCTCTCACTTTATATAACAAAAGTGTATAAATTGTGTTTCTGTTTTGTATAAAGAGAGAGAAAATTATATATACACATGCAAAAACATATATCTTCTTCCTATACACTTATAATTATACAATATACAAACATTTTACTTCGATTCAATTGTATACAAATGCAAATTTTATACAGATATTATTAGGTCAGCGAATTATATAATTGCAGCAAAATAGACCAACGAATTATACAATTACAGCAAAATAGGCCAGCGAATTATAAAATTACAGCGAAATAGGCTAGCAAACTATACCATTACAACTAAATAAACCAACAAATTATACAATTATATAAGTATAACGAATTATACATTTATATATTTACTATAAAGAATAATTATACAAACTTTATAATAACATACAAATATAATTTAGCTATAAGTGAAAGTTACCTAATTTAAAATACGAAGTCGTATTATGAGCATGTGGTCACAGTAATAAGTATGCAGGTCATCTTGGGAACATCTGTCAAAGGGTCTTGTGTCCTTTTGTCGAGCAATTTTAGTGAATTTTAGGTGGTTAAATTTAAATAATTTATTTTTTCACTTACATTGTTATCTTGAAATTTAAGATGAAAATAAGAATAACTTTTTTTCTTCGTGAAGTAAGATTATTTCGAGTATATAATATGGTATGTATAAAGATCAAAATGATATACTTTTTTATACATCAAAAACTATTTTGATTATGTGGTATATATAAAAAACGATTCCCAATCCCGTACATTCAAGGAACATTATAATTTGATCATTTTCTCACCAACATACACAAAAATATTATCTCGACAGCAACATATGTAACTGTTACTTCACCTTTGAATAAATCAAATATATAGTATAAATTAGTCTCTTCGTCTATTTTTAATTTTTATAATTCTTTTAAAGTTAAATTATAAAAAAAATTAGCCAAATTATTCATTTTTAAAAAATGCAACAAAATGCCTAATTATTCTACGAGAGAAAATTGTCCCCACTTTCATAATTAGATAGTAACTTTGTGGAGATATGCAACGACACACGATTATTATTATTCAACAACTTATATATGTCAAATCAACTAAATATTTTTGAGCCCACATTCATTAGAGCTATTTGCATCGTGTCTAAATTTGGTTCACACTGCTAACCGTTTGTTTAAAGAAACGAAAAATTACATAAATTAATATATTTTAGAAAATAGTTATTGAATTTAGTGATATTTTTTGTTTATTATTATTTATAGTAATGCTTTGTTAAATTTGTAATATATATTAACAGTGAATTATGTATGCAATATATATGAATTATAATTGTTTTTTAAAAATATATCATATTTGTTTAGTAAAAAATTGTCACTTTGTATTATAAGTGTATTAAAATATGTGATAAATGTATTATTCGTCATTAAAACTTGTATTATATGTGAATAATAAACTGTTCTTTGTAATATGTATTAAACTTGTATTATAAATGAATTAAAAGTGATTAAGTGAAAAAAAATTATTATTGCTATCAATGATAAATATTTTTATTATCATATATCTATGTAAGTTTTCCTTTAAAGAAATTGCTCTTTTCATTTCACTTAACCTAACGATAGTTAAGTGATTTTTTTTAAAATTTAAGCGACTAACTAAAAAAATAACAACGAAATATGACTCCTCATTTAATTAATAAGAATCTGAGTTTGAAGATGAAAATAATTATGATAGGCTAATTATATATTGAGTGGAATATAATCTTATTAATTATCAAATCAAATCCACTCTTAATTATCTGTCAAAAAAGATAGTTTACTTGTATTATCATCTATGGTTGTCATGAAGAATAAGCATTCAACTTGTCTTCACGTTTAGGGTCTTATCCTATTATGTAACCTTTTAAGCTACTCTAATTATAGCACTCTATTTGTATTATTTAAGTGTAATTAAGACAAGCTGGCCATGTTAAGACTATTAACTATAATTACAACTATGAAATTAAAATTAATATTCATAAACACGTGAGTCACGACTCACGTCGTTTTCCTAGCTTTCTCCTATTTGCTTCATCATTTGAAAAGACTTTGGATATCTATAATATTAAATAGACAAAAACTACTATATTGGCCATGTTATAAATATAATATTAACAATTACAACTTTGAAATGGAAATTATTAGTATTAATATTAAAACACGTGAACCACTTCTTTTTAATTTTGTCTTTTTTTTTTCTCCGTTCTTTGGGGAAAAAAAAATATATGAACGTATTAAATTGAGAATTTCCCAATCATATGAATATAAATAATATTTACTTCAACTCATAATATGAATTTAGGGATAAGATTCTAGATATGCTAATTAACATACGATATTAGTTATCATAATTAATACTTATGATAACTAGCATAAGTATTTTGAATTGTGTTAACAATTTGCAAAGAATTGAATCTCGTGATTTCCTTATACTATGTATCGAATTTTAAGTTTTTCCTCGTCTCATCGATCTCTTGCAATGGTGGATTTGAGATTCACAAAAAGAGATTGTTTTGTAAGAATTATTATTTAATTACTATTAATTATTTCTTACTTATGGCCCAAGTTTACTTGTAACCCAGGTAATACCATAAATAATATTTAATAAGGAACATATCTCGTCCGTAAATTGGTTATCGTATTAAATCATAACCTCTATAAATTGGTCCTCCCTCCACCCATTAAGGTTACCACATATTCTCTACATTAATTCCAGCTTATGGTTGTGGTAACATAAAGTTAGGACAAAAAGGTAGGAACTAATTCACAACTAACGCTTCTGCTTTTCTTTGTGATAATGTGTTCCTTATTAGGTATGTGCCTTAACGAATTTTATGTAAGATTATCGTGTTCAAGATCCTGATACTATATTATAAAGTATCTAATCTTATTTGTTTGTCCAACAACTATTCATTAAGGATCTTTATCAAATTATCGGCAACTTCGAATCTAATTTGAATAGTTCATTGATGAAGAGGGGAAAAAGTTGAATTTTGAAGTTGTTGGTTCTGTTGAAATTTGTGTCATAAAAACAAACGTATAAGTGTAATATATGAGATTTCCCTTTTTAGCATAACAACTTAATGCATAATATATCAACATCAATGTATACGAATATTGAGTTATGTATCCGAATTATGTAAAAGTTAAGAGATTATTGTAATTAAAAAAAGAGTATTAATAGAATGAAATTTACTTCTTACGCTATGAAATTCTTAAGTTTTTACTAAATGTAATGCAAATGAAAATACAAAATTTCTCAATTGTTTGTATGCGATAGATATAAATGATTTGAGACTGAGGGTGTATAAAGTGAAATTAATGATGATTCAAATAGACTCCAAAGGATATTTTAGTGTAAGTTGTATCTAGCTTTACTAATCTAATTCAAGTATACAACAATTTATTTCATCTTATTAGGCTGACCAAATTCACATAATTTTCATTTCTTCCTGCCATTAAGGTGAATTCATCTTTTTTTTTAAAAAAAATAAAAATAAAAATTAGAAGCAAGGAAGGTGAAATGTGGGATAGATTTCAAAATGAGAATCGAACCCTCAACAAAGTGAAAGTTCTGAAAGCCAACCAACGAAGCTACTAAAATGAATTCATTTTCTTTATGAAATAAAAGCACGAACTTCATATGTGCTGGTTGCAATCCGAACATTTGCAAATATACATACATTGTTAAAGAAGGGCATAGTTAATTGGTGAGTGCATTTAAAATAAGGACAAATTTGAACCAAAATATTGGATATTTGTGCTAAAGTATTACCACTACGTACATATCCGCTTAATTTCACATAGTTTAGGGGCATAATGTTGAAAAGTCAATGTCTAGCAAGATATGCTGATACCAAGAGCAGGACTAGACAGTTCTGTTTGCTTAATGTGTCCAGATAGTGAAATATGGGGAATCAAACCACAAGGATATTTACAAACCAAATATAAGTCCTTAAAGGAGGCTGATACTCTCTATTACATGAAAGAAAAGTGATGTTTGAAGGCAGATCAGTTGAGCAACAACGCATTGGATCTGCAAGGTCATTCATCTTTCACCTCTTCATAACAGAGGGGGCAATTCTGTGACAACAACACATGCACAAAAGACAAAGATGGTGGTCAGTTTTGCTGCAGTGGAAAAAAAGGCAGTATTGAACAACAAAAGCAATCAACATTATCTAGTGTAATCCCACAAATGGAGTCTAGGGAGGATAGAATGTACGCAAACCATATCCCTACCTTTAGGGGTAGAGAGACTGTAAAAGTGGAGTATTGAGTTTAAATGAATAACAAATTGAAACTTCCAAAGAGGTATCCTTTAGCAATTAGCACCAAGATATGTTAATTGTCCAAGAGGTGAATTTTGCACGTTTGTCCGTTTCAATTTAACCCCGAACTAGTCATCCTTTTCCTATACAGAGTGTTTATTCTAGAACTTCTTGTGTTTAACCGATTAAAAGATGAAAATACTATTTGTTTCAAAATAGGATTTTAGGTTTCAATTGTTCACTTTTGTAACTTTGTAAAGCTCTGCAAGTATGCTTCAGAATGAAAGCCTAAACATGAGATTAAGAACTACTATAAGTTGGTGAGAATTTGACCGGTCTTAGAGACGAGAAAGAACTCCTTACAGATACTGCATCTAAAAAAATGTTGGCACATTTCAATCAGACTAGGATGCTGTGATCCAAAATCTCATTTTCACACGAATAGTGAGAAGCAATGCTAAAACTTCTCTTTAAGCCTCTTTGATGTTTTCATCATATGTTCTTACTTGAGTATTGGAGGAAAAAAAATTTAAACAGGAAAATATTGAAGGGGACATGATCCTAAGTGTGAGGATATGATTTCTCACCTTTCTTTCTTTTAGCCAGCGGTTAATACATTCTGAATGAAACATGTGTGCACAAGGCAAAGTGGTCAACATATCTCCGCTTCTGTATGCAGCATAACATATAACACACCTGCATACAATGAAATTGGAAGGACCAAGTTAGACGATCATATCTGTTTCTCAGCTTGTTTGAAGGTGTTTGTTTCTACACTCTAATCAAAATGAAGTTATTGACTAGATCAACCTCTACAAACATCTTTTCCAGGAAACCTACTCAAAATTGTCAAATGGGCTACTTAAAAACAATAACTGACCGCTGTTTTAGCTGTTAAAAATGTATGAATGGTAAATGGTGGAAACAGGACCGAAGGGCAACTTATGTCGACAGACTTACTTTTTAATTAATAAAAAAATGGAGACAAAAATGACAGAGATGATAATGTTAGGGAGGGCAGTGACAACAGTTAACCACAGAAAAATGCCAAAAAGATAAATTTAACATTTCCTCTTTTTTCTTTTCTTTTTTTTATGCAGAGGGGGCGGCATTCTTCTGATATGCTGAGGGGGCTCTAATTAAGATGCAGGATTAGGTCTTTAGAAGAGGAATAGCTCATCATGAATAGCATTTTCATTATGGTCCATTCTCATCTAGACATTGGAACTAAGAGTCAGAAACACCAAAAAAAATGCCAGTAATGCTTTATGCTGGTAAGAATGAGACACAAATCATCAACAGAATGGGTCAATTATTGAACTAGCACATTTATCAGTAAACTTTTGTATAAGGACCAGTGCACTTCTTCAAAATGCTGACACAAAAGAGTTAAGTCAGGGTAGAAAAGATACTATCAGAAGGGAATTTATTCCTACTCTCCCATCTTCTTTTTCTTTGAGAAGAATCCAGTCTTGTATTTGAAACTTGGTAAACGACTTATGAGGTCTTGTGAAAGCCCTCTGCTCTGCTGGCCAACAGCTTCTCCTAAAGACTGCAATTCCTACCAAAAATGAAAGAAGACAATCGAAATGGAATAAAAGAAAATTCACCTGGTGGCAAAAGATAGAAGAGCAAGATTTATCTGAGTAAACAACCTGGTGCATAAATTACAGTTCTTGCACTCAATTTTTACTATTTCAAGCTTAATCAAAAAGATTAAAAAGTGATTCCAGTCTAACCTCATAGGTCATACTATCTGGATCAATATCATCTTGTCTCCTCGTGTTCGGATTCTCAGCCTGCACTTAATAATAGAAGCTTGCATTAATTCTTGCATACATGATACGATATTATTAAGCATAAAAACAACAAGAGAACTATAAAGTCGAAGCAAACCCTGACCGGAGGTGATTCTCTAGGAGGGGATTCCCTGATGCCTGCAGATGATGTGGAGGTTACTTGATTATGAGTAATGTGGACACTTAATCCAATCATATACTTGAACTGAATATTTCCAAAACAAAAAAACTATGTTTCAAACACCCGCGAAGTAAAACCTGTTTTATTTATTTACTTCCTACTCTTCTATTCACCCACCAAAGTTGTTTAGATGTACAATCTAGCTTTTTGAGTAAACTGAACATGCACACACCTATTTTGAAATGGTTTTAGAAGACTGAAGAACAATAATACACTATAGCGTGACACGAAATATTTTTCGCACTCCTACATCATATCACTTGCTCCTATAAAGGTAAACACCATTTTCACTTTTTGCAACTTTTAATAATCACCAAACACCAAATCCTCATGCTCCACTCCATTATTGACGAATGAAATTCTCAACTAATCATCACTAAGCTAAAACATTGGCAAAATACATAAATAACACTGGAAGTCTGCTGCCAGTTAGCCATCTAAACTAAGGTAGTGATCATATGTGTGCCTTGTGGACACCCGTGTCCACCAGATTTTCACACATGACTTACAATCACCTATTATGTGTCAAAAACAGGCATACCAGTGAATCACACGTGTATTTTAAAATAATTGTTACTTTTATTTTAAAATAAAAACAGGATAACAAATACTTGATTCACATGCACACTTTGCATCACAAAGGTAATCAACTGCATTTTTTGGTATAAACAGTTCATAAAACTGGTATGCATTACAAGTACAATTCATGCTTTTCACTATCTCAATATTAATGTTCATTCAGTGAGTTCCTTGTCCTTTGTACTACAAGCTACTATCCTTTTGTCCATTCTACAGTTCAGTCTTCACTCATCAGTGTAAGAAAGACTTCATTTTAGCATAGTTTTAACATCTTGGCATCTATAAATCATGGTTCAAGGTTATACATATAAACCATTCAGAATAAGATGACTAACATCTTCTATAATCACAGAGAAGAACATCTATGGTTAAAAGTAGAAAATAAAAACAGGTAATATCATGCAAATTGTACCATTAGACAAAGCAGAGATAGAAGCTGTATGACCAAGAAATTTTACGGAATAAACGAAGTTCTTATGCAATTACCAGCCACAGTAGAATTAAGCTCATCTCTACAAAAATCCTCAAAATCATCCCCCAACTGCAAAGATCTAGCTATAGCTTCATCCAGAGCCAACTGTGAGTCAGGGCTTTGAGAAGAATCACCCTTTTGTGCTGATAACGGATGCCCGCTACTGGTTTGACCGTATTCAGAGCTCATACTCTTGTTTTTTCCATTTGCTTGAAATGATAAGTAAACAGTTTCCTGCAAGACAACAATCCAACTGTCAACAGAAAATACTGTTAACTACTGAATAAGGAATAGGAAGATGGTCAACAAAAGGGCTGCCTGCTGTTGAACCTTGTGCAAAAGCATCTATTTCTTTCTGTGATACCTGTTGCAAAAGAACTTCTTCATAACTCAAATCGCCATCCTCAGGAAAAAAATCTTTTAGATTCTCAGCAATCTCTGATGGGATTCCACCACTCGAATAATGACTATGTAACAAGCTGTTACTCATTGTAAATGTTTCAGGTACGATTTCACACTATTCTTCTTCAGACTGCAGGATCCTTTCACTCTCTGTAGAATTTAGAGTTGATCAGGTAAAAGATATATCAGGTGAAGATGATAAAAGGACTTGAAAGAAGCTTATAAAGAATATCAAGTTTTCACACACAGAATATCCAGTAACACCCATTTCCAGAAATAGGTGTCTTTCTCACATTCACCTCATATACATGTATCTAACCTCTTATATAGAATGGTGTACAATTAAGGATAGGATAAAGACAAAGAAATATACATCCGTAGAGGGATTATAATGAACCATTCATGACTGCAAACCAAGTGAGTTCGACAGAATAGATTGTCTTTTAGTTTTGACAATCTCTCCCCTCTTCAAAATATTGTACATAATGCCATAGATTGAAAAGATATGAAAATACGACTACTTGAGAAGGGTTCGAAAGCTATCAGACACTGCATATGACCAACAACACACTGCAGATTAATTAAACAAATTCTGCAACTTCACAAAATGCCAATAATGACTGATTTTGACACCTTAGAAACTATGAAGACTCATAATAAACACGCCACAAGCACCAGACAAGAAAATGTACCAATTCAGGTATAGGCAAGATAAAATGTCATTTAAAATAGATAGGGAAATGCCAAACACTTATCTGAAAGGCCTTTTGGTATAGGTAATAAATATACCAGGGCGAAGACTATTTGACTGGACATGTGGCAAGTGCAGAAGGAACTCATAGTCTTCCTCAAGTCAGCCTGGTCAAAAACCGAAGAACCCTAAGCCACCTCAGAACTTGTCCCTGGGTCCGGTTCACCCATATCAGACAACAGTTTTCCAGAAGGATACAACCAGAAAGTCCAAAGTATCCAATCATTAAATTCCCTACGACAGCCAAACTTTGAGATATCCGAAATTTCATTATATCACATCTAATAGTCACGATCTTATCACTGAAACGTGCAAGACTCACATTGCCGGTCACGATTAGATTATCCTATAGATACTCCCATGTTTCCATCATTGTAAGACATCTGATTACACACATTATTATGCCTACGGTTCAGCAACATTATTATGTATCTATTGTTGTTCATTGTTGTTCGCCATCAGTCGGCCCGGAAAATTCAATAAGAATCACTCTCTCTATTTCTTTCTCTATTGCTTCAGTTTGACTATTCACTTTGCTACTGTTATCATGTTATTTTCACTAAACTCATTATCAAATGATCAATTAGATTTGGATTAATCGCACTGCTTGTGACCTCAACATTATAAATTTAACTGGTTGACATAGGTCAAACAGTTTTTCGCCCACAGTAGGACCCTAGTAATTGTGTGGCTGTTCCAAAACAATATTGATCCTTTATCGATATTGCAATAGTAGTTTCTGTAGAGTACAATTGCAGGACAAAGCAGATCACAATTGCCACACCGACTTCAGGCCAATCTCCTGGGAACTCAGCAAAGCACGACTGTCAAAGGAGATGTCAACTCAAAGAGTTCCAAACAAAAGGAAAGAAATCGCACAACCCGGTTGGGAAGAAAAGGTGCAATGATTGGTCATACACAAGAATAATTTAACAACCGAACAACAAGATTGGAACAGGCAGATTTTGTTGATGGCCTTGACCGCGAATGTCAACACATGATCGCCTGCACCACCAAGAGTGGAACCAGGGCAGGGACACTCCAAATTTCATACCAGGAAGCTCTCTTACCGAGGGACTTCCCAGCGACTTAGGAACTGAAGGATCGATAACTGGTAGAATAGGTCAAGGCACTGGTGCTCCCGAACTGCATGTCAATCTCTAAATACCATTTTTCATTTCGAAAACAAAAATTACTTTTTCAAATTTCACATGGCCAAACGAACCCTTAGCTCCGCCGGAGACTCTTTTGAGACAAATTTAAGGAGCAAAACAAGTGTATCGATCAGAACTCAGAGGCTCCACCTATAGATGTGGAAAGATACTCTCAACAACCAAGGAAACTAAGTGCTGCCCCCTACCTATATCCATTAAGTTCAGAATGCCAGATTCTCGTGAAGTACAATGGAACCAAAAGGTGTCAGGGACCATGTCACAGCCCCTATAAAACCGGAATCAAAGAGAATGACCTGACAAAGCTAGAGATAATAGGTACTAGTTAAAAAGCTTGGAGAAACGCTCAGGAAGGGAGCATTAACCTGATACTGACTCTTGCCTGAAAACTCAATAGGGTCATTCGCAGATGCCTTCATTAAGGCTTATACAGGGTCCAGCAGGTAGAGAAGTGGATGGAAGACATTATCAAGATACAACAAGGAGGTACCAAGTTACTCTCCCACACTGTATTCACACTGAAAGAGAAATCAACAACAAACATAACCAGTGTAATCCCACGCACGGGTGTGGCGAAGCAACCTTATCCCTACCTACAGACCGTAGAGAGGCTGATTTCGATGGACCCCCACCCAAGTAACATACTGAAATAGAAATCATGCTTAAAAACTTACAACTACCTTAATTTATATCAAAATTCACAAATCTGGAGAATTCATGATAACAAGAAAGGCAAAAACAGGAAATCATGATTTAATTTCATAACAACACCTTACATTGATTTCCCCTTTCCACAGTAAAATGACCGGGTCACAGGGTTCGACCCGGGAAAATCTTGTTTTTACTCAATTATGACAGATGAAATCATGAGTAAAATTGGCAAGATTCAAAGGTTGTCACTTTACATTTAAAATCTTGAAATACAAATCCAAAAAAGATGGGTTCTTGAAATTTGACTCAATTATTCATGAAAATGGCATTAAAGGTGAAAACTTTTACCTTTTTGAGGAAAGAAGACGAGTTGGGGTTCTTGACTGTGAGTTCATCTTTGTAACTGTAGACTGTAAAATAGGTCGAATGAAAGGAACCGATGAATATTATATCTAAGGAAGGTAGACATTAAGGGGTCCACTTTGCTTTATGAAAAATGGTACTGGTGTATAATGGTGCTATTCATGGTAAGTTTCAGAAGAAGCCACAACAGTGAAAACTTTTCCCTTCTTCACAAAGAAGATACAAATCCTGCTTACATAGCCTTTTTGCCTTTTTGTTTGATTTTTGGGGATAAAAGCTTCATCCTTTTACTAGAGGTCTGCAATGTGTACTTTCCATATATATTAACTGTTTGTTTGTTTGCAAAACACAGTAAAAGCTGGGATTTATACACAGAGATAAAAGACAGTATGAACATCAAAAGAACACAAATGCAATGAATTGAGATGATATCTTTTTTAAAATTAAATTTTTTGAATGCTTTAGTGAGACTGTTGTAATAAAAAAATTTGAATTCGAACTCGCAATATACTAAAAATATCAAATTAAAATTACATTTTATCACCAATATTAAATATTAATTTTAACAAAATAAAATACAAAAGGCATATGGACACGGTAAAGAAGGCGACTGTCCACTGGTCCACCCACAGTGAATTTTCTTCTTTTGTTTGGTGTGCTGAAAAAAATTTAGTACTGTTTTATTCATTACAATATGATTATAAATTTTAAAATAAACTAACTTATTTCATGAAAAAGTGTCACAATAGTATCAAAATTAATTATTTCATGATAAATTAAATTTTTTATCAAATACCCATTACAATACATTAAAATGGTTGAAAAATACTCTATAATATTCATTATATTTATAAGTAATAATTTGTAAAAACAACAAAAATACAACTACGAATGTATTTAGTACGTACTTATGGGATGAATCGACATGTGAAGTCGTTAATATAAAAGTCTATTTTAATTGACTTAAAAAAATAATTTATAAATTAAAAATAAAAATCAAATTTAAATAATTTTTAAATAAAAAATAAAAAGAAATAGAAAATCTATTTTTGATTTTTAACTCATTTTTCATATTGTCAAACACTTTCTAACTGATTTATATCAATTTTAACTTATTTTTTATGTATATCAAATACTTCAAAAATTAAAAAAATTAACTTAAAAATAAATTTAGCTAATTAAATCAAATCAAAAAGTCGTGTTCTATTGAAATTTTCCTAATAAAATTTGTACTTGCTATTTTGATATGTGATGTCAAACTATCCTTGCACGTGACATCTTATATAGTGGTTACTTTATTTGCTCTAATGTTATCTATTTAATTTTCAAATTCAATTTAATCTGTTATTTTATTGGCTTGGTCCTATTTTAATTTATTTGAGTCTAATTTTTCTATAATTTTTTTTTAATTGGAACAATTTATTATTCTATTACATTTATTTTGTTGGTTTGTTATGAGAGCGTATATACTAAACGTGTAAGTTATCTTATTTGAGGTGATTATAGAAGAAAGATAATAATTAATCATGAAGAATGAAGAAATTTTTGATAATATTAATTTGAATTACGAGTGATAAAATAACACGGCAAAAAATAGTGTCTAAGTTATGGTCGAAGCTTATGTTTTTCACTTATCTCAAATAATAATATTGTCACATAAATATTGCGTAAAAAAATATGATTATTGCTAATTTACCTTCCAAAAGGTGATAGGAAGTAAGGGAAAAGTAAAACAAGATTTATTATTATTATATTATTCATTAGAGAAAGCACTTCTATCACACAATAAATAAAGATGGTGCTCATGATGACACATTACTTTAAAAGTATATTATAAAATGCAGATGCAAAGAGGAATCTCAACGACAAGAAAAACACTTTGTGATGAGCTACTACATTTACATCATTCCACCTTTACAAATATTCTTCGTCATATTTCTGGGTGTTGGGTTATGGACCTTTTCCCCTTCATATATGGATAAATAAAAGTCCAATTTGGACCAATCCATTTTTTCCCATAAGCTCATTCTTATGAGGCAAATATAAGCATATTTAGGTCTTATTTTCAGATATAAAAAGAGTTTTTCAGCAGCCAAAAAGGAAAAAAAGAGCAGTTTTTCACAGTCAAAAATTCAGCCCTAACAGCCAACTTCAAATTGCGATTCCCGCTTCGTTTCTTGTCCGATTGAGCTGATTTTTGGACAGCTTATTATATTCATCTCAATCTTTGATTAGG